CGGGCGGCAGCGTTTTGAACCAGCTGCAGACGGTGAACAGAGGCTTTGCTGAGACAGGTGAAAAGTGAATTACAGTAGTCTAACCGGGATGATATGAATGCGTGGACAGCCATTTCAAGCTCTGCATGAGACACAATGGACCTGAGTTTAGCGATGTTGCGGATGTGGAAAAAACAGTTGCGGGTCAGTGAGGAAACATGTTTGTCCATGTTCATAGCCTGGTCGAAGAACACCCCAAGATTTCTGATGTGGGGGTGAACGTTGGTGGTGAGGGGCCCCATTAGGTTTTTTACCTTGGCTGCTAGGGAGTCTGAGGCAATTATAAGTACCTCTGTCTTCGCCGCATTTAGCTGGAGGAAATTTCTCCCCATCCAGCCCTCAATGGCAGCTAGACAGTCCAGTAGGATGTTAATTTTCTGCATGTTTTGCGGAGTGAAGGACACATACAACTAGTGTCACTAGTACGGTCAGAGGGCCACTAGTCAATCAAAAAGCATACAAGTTGGGACTTTGGTGCCACTAGTGTTGCTCCTGGCGTCACTAATAAGGCTTATGTGGTAACTAGTCGGACAAAAGCATTCGGTGCCATTTATGTCCCAACACATTATATCATATATTTTGTATTTAAAAGGTCTAATGCTTATTTTTATCATACAATTCTAAATAATTACTCTGATTTTAGCACAAGTAGGCCAAATTGCTGTGTCCCAAATCATGTTTGCTCAACTTCTGTAACAGATATAAACATTTTTATTGTTTAAAGTTTTAAAAAAGTGTGTGTCCCCTGTTTGAATGTCCCCCCTGTTACTCTGATTGGAATCCCTCTGGACACGCCCCTTTACTATTATAGTTGACTCAAGTCAATGACTTGAGTCCATGATTCAAGAAGAAGGATACATTTTGAGTGGGAAAATCATCTTCAAGAGCGAGAGTGTATGCAATTCTTCCTTCAACGTTTTTTAAAATGTTTTTTAAATAACTTAACTGTTGGGGTAAAACATAACATGTCCACCCATATGCTCACTTTTAGTGGAAACTGATCATTTTTTTTACATTTAGAAAATATGGTGAATATAACTATCAAATACTGTATATGTTTCTGTTGTCACCAAGTGCTAGCTTGATTATCATCACACATGTAGCAATAGCCAAGTTTAGCATACAATGTCCACCCTCTTACCGTCCACCCTGTTACTATTTTTCACATTAACAGGGTGGACACACAGTAACTGGGGATGTTAAAAAATAAATGTTTTAAACATAATATCCTGAGCTTGACCAAAATATTTTTCTGATACTTTAACAAGCCATCATTCAGATAACATTTTAAAAAACTTGGAAAATGATGTTTTTGATTTTTGATTAACCTAGCTGAAACGGCACCGAATGCTAGGAATGACCAACTTTGCTGAAAAAGAGTGACTAGCATAATGTTTTATTTAACTAGTAAAGCAGAGTGCCAACTAGTGTAAGCAGCTGCCGTCTGATATTAAGGATATGGAATAAATACTCAAATGGCTTGCCATATGCAGGGCCCGCCTCCTCTGACCCTTCACCTCCTCGCACATTACTTCTAAGAAGTTGGGCGGAGTTAGGGACGGCTAGAGCAGACCCCCCTCTAATTGATAATCTTTCCATTGAGCCTAACCCATATACAGTCTACAGCCCAACCTCAGTTCACCATGCTGTCTCATCACAGATTTATTTTAAACCTTTTATTGGCAATAATGATTATTGTATGAGTAGATGTGCCTGTGACCACAAAAGGGTAAACTGTAGTGATTGTTTTGCAAACATTAAAAAAAATCTAATTTGTACCTAGATTTTGATAGTAATGATTATTCATCCACCTTTAAACATTGTGTGACGTGTTAAGTAAAGCTTAAAATGACAGCCTGCCTTAAAGACCAGCTTTTATTTTATTTATAATTTGTTGAAACATTGTCAGATATGTCAAGAGTCGATCAAGCTGCAGCCTGTCACCGTGTTCATGTGTAAATAAAGCTTTATTTTTTAAAAACATGCAAATCCATTCATAACTCAGACTCAGTCCCTCTTTATACACGTATCTCCGAGAAGCAGCATCAGCCTGCTCCTCAGTAAACCCTCTGTGGTCGATATGGAAAATGTTTATTTTTACATTAGCAAAATACCACTCAGAAATGGCATACTCTCTGATGTTGCATTGCAATGAAAATAAAAACTAAAAAGTATAGGCATGACATCAGTATGGCATAATGAACGCAATGCTATATACTTGATGTATATACACACATGTCTGTTACAATTGTAACACTGTTCAGAGTCATCGGTGCTAAACAATAGCACTCATGCATCCTCACACATCTTTAAAGGTGCGATCAGTAGAGATGGCTCTCCAGCAGATCAGATCCATTCATGTTTTCACAGTGCTCTTATTAGGACATAATAAGCTGTGGTGAGCCGACATTTGTCACAGCAAAAACATGAGCTAGCTTACTGTATGTCGCTCACTGCATCATACTGTAGATCACTTATTATAGAGCCAATATAGTCAATATTTAATCAGTCATTATGAAATAAATATTATTAATAAATACAACCAAAATATCTTACATTTAAATAACACCGTTTTAAACTGCTTTTAATAATGAATACAACATGGAATTATATCCATTCTGATGTAAAAATGCCCTTAGCAAAGTTGTATTGTGACAGGTCAGGCAGAGCTCTGTGATTGGCTGTTGCTTGGGTCTGAATGAGTAGGCAGCCAATCACAGAGCTGGCTCTGTCCATGGAATAATTTCACGTTATAATAATAATGCTGTGTTTTCAAAATGTATAGTTTAGCAATTATAGAAACATGATCCTAATTTGTGACTTTTAACCAAGTGTAGATATGATGCGTAGCCCGGGGAAATGTAACATTCTCAAAAGGTTTACAAAGTAGGACCACCGACCGTGGGATAGATCTGAAGGAGGATGAGTGTCAGGCAGCATGACATGGTTATGTGGAAAGAGCCACATTGTAATGTTTATATATTGCAACTTTAACATTAAGTGGTCAACTTCAGGTTTATCTCCACAACATTGTTTGTTTAGCAAATAAAATACATAGATAAAAAATGAATAAATAATTTTATTTTAAATTGAGACAAAGTTAAGCAAGCTTTATTTGTTTTGCCTTTGTTTGCAATGTACAATGGTCAGTCTCCCCATACACTCACTGTGGCTATTGCTTGAGCCTGAATGAAAGCATACTAAAGCTTCCTCTCAGAGACCAACAGAAAGCAGAAGCCCCTTCCTTTTTGGGATGCACTTGTGGTAAAGGACTAGAAGAGTTACAATGAAGCCCACAACACTTAAATACAATAATACCAACATCTTAATTCATCTTAAATAATATATTATATATATTAAACAATTTATGGGTGACATAGATTTAGTTTCTATGTAATACTTTTTTTTATCAAACCCGCATAATAAACATGCAATGGCATTTTTTCTGAGATATTCTTGGAGAATGTCTAAACAAAAAGAGTAACTCTCTTTGCTGTATTGCATAAGATCATCACCACAAAAACGAACAAATCCCACAAACCATTCTGATTTCAAATGTTTCCAGGACAGCATTCGTTCAATTAACACACTGCCAATCAGAGGAATGCTTCAGTGAACATCAATAGAAAGGATCATTATAATCATATCATTCATGGCACACCCAACTCCTATAGGGTTACATGTTGTAGTAATGAAATGTTTCTCATGGAAGCTTCTACTTAAACTCTATCAGTAATCTTTGCTGATTTGCATCGAGGGGTGGAACAATTAAAATACAAAGTTGAAAAAAAAGCATAAAATCCAACACGTGTTCCTGTATGAGGGTTATGTCTCCATGTTGATTCCTATATTGCTCGTGACAGGATGTATACAGTTTGTGTGTCTGCAATAAAACAAAACCAAGCCTTGAGGATGAGTCCATCTGTAAAGTGGTCGTAATGGCAGCATCACAAATAATGTAAACTGTTCCCCGGCAGACCAAACACGTATTGTAACTCAGTTAGAGGTGCTTCTAATATTTAATCATACTCATTTATATTCATTATTCGCAGTCATTAAATATTACAAACACCAAAAGCAGCAACAGAAACGTCTGTCTCCAAAATGATACAGTTGAATCAACACCTCTAAAACTCTTTAACAAAAAGTGTTTTGTACGAGCTGATTAAACGCCTTCATTTAGCTAGCTATAGCTGATTAACTGGCAACTGTGAGTGTCTCTAAAATCCAGAACTTTGCATGACTATTAAAATGTCATCTGACAGACTGGTATAATAAAACAGGATTTAAATGTTTCAATTGTAACACCTCTCTTTGCACTGCATTACATGATCTGAATGTGTTGTTAGATTCCATGTAAACATGTTGAAGCTTCCTTGGGCAAGATACCAGATTGCTCCTGATGGCCACCATTGTGTGTGTGTGTGTGTGTGTGTGTGTGTGTGTGTGTGTGTGTGTGTGTGTGTGTGTGTGTGTGTGTGTGTGTGTGTGTGTGTGTGTGTGAGAGCAGGTGCACCTTGTATGGCAGCCTATATACATGTGAATGCTGAGTTGAATCTTTGAGAGGTTGAATAATTTCCCGTTTGCAGTGAGTCCACTCCCCATGAACACCATGTGGACTCCTCAGTCTTTACAATCACTTCCTTGAAGCTCTTTGACATTCCTCTGTCTCCTGGAGCTTGCATAACTCGCATAACTCCCCCCCCCCCTGCTGCTTTGTTATTGCTTTTTATAAAACCTAACCATAATTTGATTACTAAATGTACGGAGCAAGCCCTAATTATGTAGAATAGATTGAAAAAGAGGCGCCTCTGGTCACACGCAGAGGCTTTGTGATCAATAACAAACAGAACACATGCTGAACATGTATCAGCTGTTGAGCCTTGACCAGCAGTGACACCAAAGGCTTGTGGGGGTGTCAGGTGTGATAATGGTTGGACGGACACACTTTCTAAGTCCAGGCTTATACCAAGGCAAACATCTACTTTTGCAAGCTCAGATTTGGTGACATTGATTTATTTCTGTGATCTTTAAAAAAAGATGCAGATAACTTGCTGAGGAGGATTGTGACTTGCTGCTGAGGAGGATTGTGACTTGTTGCTGAGGAGGATTGTGACTTGCTGCTGAGGAGGATTGTGACTTGTTGCTGAGGAGGATTGTGACTTGTTGCTGAGGAGGATTGTGACTTGCTGCTGAGGAGGATTGTGACTTGTTGCTGAGGAGGATTGTGACTTGTTGCTGAGGAGGATTGTGACTTGTTGCTGAGTTTCAGCTCCACTGGACAAATGGACTGTTGATTACGTAGCTTGCGATGTAAACACTGAGTGGAGGGGCGCTTCTTTACTTTACTTAAATCCAGTACAGTGGCCCTGTGAGGAGGACCAGGATGTGCGGGGGGTGCTGACGGAGGTGTAGATTCCACTGTGCAGTCATTGTGGAGACTTTGACTTTGAGTTTGATGGTGTTTGGATTCCAGACCTTATTCTCCCTACCTGACATGTAGCACAAACTAAAAACACTTCAGAGTTGAATCAAAGCACTCACCTCTAAGACTAAGGTGGACACACACTCTCCTCAAAGTTGTGATTATTGCAGAGCTGTTGTGTTGGATTACAGCAGGGTTGTACAGGTGTTCCTTTTTTAACGTCCACCCCCTGTCCCTACATGCAACGTGCATTTTACACATTAGTGATAAACTCGTCATACTAATGCCTGCTCTCTGTTTGTCAATAATTGTCCTTCAGGAACAATCGTCCCCCACTCTCCTCTGTCCCTTGGTCCTTCTTTTTACTCGTGCTCCTTATTCCTTAGTATTTTTTGCTTGACACTGTGAATGTAGAACAAGATCAAGCCATAATCCTTGACGTGCTACCAGTCACATTCTGTACAGCATATACTCTAATATTTTCTATGTACAACGTCAGAGTTCAAAGCATTCCAAAAAAAGTGTGCTGGGTGTTGGGGCAGAGATGGCGAGTTGAGTGTCTGGATGAGGAAGAGCTGTGAGAAAGGCTTGGGGGGGTCCTGTAGAGTAGATCCTATCAGAATGTCAGAGTAGAACCCTTCGTCAGTAGAACAGGGGCTCCGTGGAGCGCAGTAAGAAAGGTTTGAGGAGGCGAGGGCCTTCAGAGGTTACAGTCTGAAGGAAGAGTCTGAGCAACAGGTCAGTTCAGCTGATCCTCGTACTGCTTCCGGAAACAGTCTCCAGCAGGGAAAAACTCCCAGCAGCGCTCCTGGTACATCTTCCATACGTAAGACTCCTTCAGGACACACACATGGGAGGAGGTCAGAAAGAACAGTGTTGGAAGAAGTACTCAGATACTTAACTTGAGTTAAAGTACAAATACTATGGTCTTAAAATACCCCATTACAAGTAATAAGTCCTTATTTCAGAATGTTACTTAAGTAAATGTACAGAGCATCAAAATGTACTTAAAGTACAAATAGAATGACCTATTTCAGAATGAATATAGTATTAACAGATAAATGTAACTAAAGTATTACAAGTAAAAACACAAATTTTGCAGAATGGATTTTTTCAAATTATTATATTGTTATGTTTTTTTTGTTTTCCTGTTTTTACACATAAGGGCATTTTAGTGCTGTAGTTGGTCCAGTGGACCAGCGTAGATCAGTAGCACAGTACTGCATTACACCATCAGTATATCATGTCTCATATAATGTGTTTTTATTTGTCCAAAGTAACTAGTAACTATGTGTAGTGGAGTAGAAGTATAAAGTAGCATTAAACATAAATAATCTTTTGACCTATTTGTATTTTACTTAAGTACAATACTTGAGTAAATGACTTTAGTTACTTTCCAGCCCTGGGAAAGAGTACCATTATACATCATGTCAGCTGATGAGGTTAGTAAAGCAGAGTGAGCTTCAAACACTGAGCCATTAAAGGTCCTCAGTATGCTTCAAGCTAACTGTGGAAAATGTTTTGTGTGTACCACATGGCAACACTGATCCATACCAGCGTAGTTCAGTTTGGAGCTGAGCTTTACTAACCACATCACATCACAGTAATGTGTGTTCACTGAGAGCAGTGGAGAAGGAGCTGCTTTACCTGGCCTGTGTGCTCTGTTTCATCTTTGTTGATGAGATACATCACAAAGAATCTGAAACACACACACACACACACGCACAAACAAACATTAGAAAAACATATTCACTGACAATATTATTCCTCACATGCAAAAACACACAAGAAACATAGGATCCAAAAATCTAACATATGGGGAAGATAAGGTAGTAAGTGGACAGAGGCTGGGTTTGCATGTTATGCTATGAAAAAGCATGTATGTGTCATCACTTTAAAATGTTAAATACAATTGAAGCAGGGACCAATGGAAACCCAGCATTTGTTTAGTCTTCCAATCAGGGGTGATCCATAAGGCAGCTATAATGATGTTATAGGCACACACACACACACACACACACACACACACACACACACACACACACACACACACACACACACACACACACACACACACACACACACACACACACACACACACACACACACACACACACACACACACACACACACACACACACACACACACACACACACACACACACACACACACTCTCAAACACAGACACTCTCAAACACACACACCCACACACACACACACACACACACACACAC